GCAAGAGTCCATCCCGGTCTTAGTCATTCTCACTCTGCAAAGGAGAGAGGGGAGAGCAAGGGTGAGGTGCCAGGGGCTGGGCTGGGGGATACAGCCCCTCTCAATGCACCTGGGGCCAATGCATAAGTCTCCCTGCCCAAGCGCTGCCCCCTCATGACACCTCACCTCCATTTTGCTGTAGATCCAGCTGAGAAGCTTTGTCACACGTGTGTAAACACCAGGCTTGTTCTTCTGGCCACATCCTGTCCCCCAGCTCGTCACCCCGGCCACGTACCAGCGGCCGTTGTCCTCGCAGACCAGCGGCCCTCCGCTGTCACCCTGCAGGGGCAGAGTAGCGAGAAAGAGATATGGGAGACGTTCTCCTTTCAGCCCCCAGCCAGGGCACACTGGCGCACAGGAAAAGCCCTACCCCTCCCACAGCACCCTACCTGGTGTGCCCCCGCCTCACCTGACACGCATCTTTCCCTCCTTGCAGGTACCCAGCACACATCATCCGCGGAGTCAGGTACCCCTCGTACACCTTGTCGCTGTTGCAGGTCTTGTAGTCAATCAGCTTCACCTCAGCCTCCCGAAGCTTCGGAGATGTGTTATCTGCAAGGCAGGAGGAGCCATGGGAGAGGGTGGGCCATGCCCCCTCCACTGCCCTCGGCCCCTCTGCAGCACCAGCTTCTTGCAAGGCAGTGAAGGAGGAGGCTGGCATTTCTCACAGGCGTTATTTCTGTGGAGCCACACAGTCAGGAGGGCAACCACTGCAAGTTACCCCTGCAGCACCGGGGAGCTGCCTGCACAGAGCCAGCATCCTCCCTCACCTTCGTTCTCCCTGGTCTTCCCGAAGCCAGGAGACCCTGCCGGTCTGGAACCGCTGGCCGTACATGGGGAGGCAGGCTGGGCGAACCTGAGCTGGAGGGAGGCATGATGAAAACCAGGCAGGAGAGGGGATGAGTCACCCAGCAGCAAGACAGCTGCTGTAGTCACCAGCCCCGAGGCTAGGGAGGAGCAGGCTGCGCAGGAAACGCTCCCCTCCGCGCCCACGCAGGCAGGGTCTCCACTGGACCCCCAGCAGGGACAGCCCATGGCACAAAGAAACTGGCTGCGCAGCTAAACCCGCAGCTGAGCACGCACCAGTGGAGGATTCTGGGTTCCCACGGAGGGGAAAGCAGTGTGGGCACAGCAGGGCAGGATGCTCCAGCTGGCGGCAGTGCCACGCAGCCCAGGGGATGGCTCCGAGGGAACCCGAGCTGACTCTTGCTCCTGCCCATCCCCCGGATCTCTCTCAC